CCGATTGCGGCGAACAACAACGCTGTAAGCAGGGCGGCCAGCATCAGTCATGGTGCGAATTTCTCCCCTCTCCCGAGATGCAGGGGATGCAAGTGGATGTGGGATGTGGTCGAAGCGTCTTCTTCCAAAAATGGCTGAAAGTCGTGTTCAGATGGGGGCCCGCTACATATTCTTTACTTTTGGCACACACAGCTGGTTAATGACGGAAACATGGACCAAACAAGTATTGGCACCAAATTGTAAGAGGCGTCACTAGCGCTGCAGCGTCTTCAGCTGATCTCCGAGCTTCAAGCCGTGCTTGAAACAAAAAACACGTTGCAACTCAGCCTTGGAAGGGTCCACGCTGGAATCTGGCAATGTTTGCTAGCGTGGATCTAGCGCAGTCCTAGCGCGCGGCTAGTGCATTTTTCAGCCAGCCACTTTTCAAAAACCTGACGAGGTTCTGAACATGCCCTGAGGCAAATACTAGCGTCACTAGCACAAGTCTACCGCAAACCTAGCGCCCAGCTGCAGAATAGGTGTGTTTAGCTGGGGGCCCGCTACATAATCTAATTGAAAAAAAACATCATAAGCTACTTTCGACCCCTTTATCTATTTTTTTTGATTATAGACTTTTGCCCGGGCTCCATGTAATGTCCCAAAGTCCAATTGCTGGTGGTGACGTGTGCAGTTTTGGGAAGGGGAGGGATGAGTGCCACTTGTGCCTTCCAGTAAATACTGGATATTCATCTGGATATCGAATGAGCAAAATTGCCAACATCTACAGGTCCACCGGGTTCCCAACACGTGCCAAGATCTCTTTCTTTAAGTGCCGCTGGGCGGGGAGTCTATTTTCTGAGCCAACGCTCCGTGAGCACTATATAGCTATATGGAGTATAGGGTCGTGTCTCGTGTTGAATCATGTTCTAGGCACAATCTAGAGTCTATAGAGACATCCAGGTCTTTGTGCTATCTGTATTCTTGCCTCAGTCCTTTTCCAACTCCTTTCCTTCTGCCGGTCGACGTCCGGAAGGATGTAGCTCTTTGGCATGGCATCGAAGAAGCGCCGCGCGGCTCGCCATTGCCCCGGTTGACAGGAGCTGAGGCTGGTGTTGTAGCTGATGACATCCGGAGTCTCAGTGTACGCTCCCAAAAAATATGTCGGACATGTCGGAACTTCGTCCGGCTTCCAACCTACCGCGCAGGTTCTTTGCGCTGTCATGGTTCGGTGTAGGTGGCAAAGCTCAGATGCCGCCCCATGCCATCTAATAACGAAATACCAGGGCCAAGGATGGACCAAAGCTCAGCTCAACACACATTTATCTGGTATTAGTATGTATATATCAAAGCTTCCTGAGGGGTGAGGGTGGTTTATGGAGCCCCCCCAAATCACCTCTGGCTTCTTAATGGACACCCCTCAGGGGGCTCTGGTACTTGGGCTCGAAGAACCCATGCAAAAGCAACAACAAAAGGAGCATTGCAAACACTCTAGGATTACTTCCACACACACTCACACACCAAGCTGAGACTTGCAAATCAACAGCTCAAAGGAGGAAAGCCATTCTTCTATTCAGCCTGCAGGATGATCACTCTCCCCTTATCTTCACCTCAAGGATGGCTGTATTTCAAAAGCAGTTGGGTACTCGTCAAGCCTGGTGAAATGATCAGAGATCAACCCCAGCAAGGAAGAAAGGACATGCTCAGCCAAGAAACGATGTCTGCTGGCTTCATGCCTGGGCTCTGCGAAGCAATCTGTTTGAAAGCAGGTACGGACCGGACCCTCTTCTATTGGGTGATCTAAGTGGATCGAATCCGATTCAAATGGTCCTCCACTAGTTGTTTGGGGTCAATATCCACCATTGCAGTCAAATCGTATGGCCAATCTCATCCACCTACAGTCCATCGACCCACCTTTTTCCTGGAAAGAACGTCAACTGCGAACCTGCGAGTCGCTTCGCGCAACTCAGTGACTTTGGTTTTCGACTAGACCCTATTATAGAAGTGGCTTCCTTAGTAGCGTCTATATTGGTGAGATGATGTTCTATCTTGGCTGCTTCGCGGGATTTGGCCATGCATGATGGTGTATTTGTCGGAGCCTTCGATCCCCTTCTTCTCACAGGCTTCGACTAGCAAGTGGTTAGGGGAACTCCGGAAGGTCGCTCCACACAGCTCCCTGTTTGGTTTTGTTTTTTTGATGGGGAATATGGATACCCCCTTTATATGGCTCCCTCAATCGCTTCCTTCTGAGCACCAGCTAGTCGATGTATTAGATGTAATAACACCTTCCAATGCAAGCGCACCTGAGGAGTGTGACCCGTTCTACTAGCCAACCTCATGTTCCTTCAAGCAACCATACAGGTCAGAGTTTGCTTAGTTCCTACCACTTCATATTGTAGAGAAAATAACACTCCAACATTATTCCACACAGCTTTTCCACACAGCTATTTCACAGCTAGCCAGCGATTTCCATACAAAAGCGCCTCAAAAGGTTCCTTGCCTGCCTCTCGTGTCAGCATCTGTCTGACTCCCGAGCCATTTCCCTGGAAACATAAAGCTTACTCAGCATCCAGTGATCCGCGGGCTGTTGGATGGACTGTTGGATGGTCGTGCCCAAAAAGGTTTCGCAGGTGATCCTCAGTCTTCCTAACGGGAGGACATCGATTCTCTCCAAACTCTTAGGGCTCTTTCACCTACGCGTCACACGTCAATCAGCATTTCGAAAACGATTGGTTTTCTCCCAACAGCGACAGAGTGCCGTGCAAGAGCTCCAGAACGGCGACCCAATGGTGTCCACTGGCCAATGCGCTCATGGCTGCGTTGTAGCTGGAAACTGGAACAGGAGAGATGTGCCGCTGCGTAAGGAAGAGTTGCCAGGCCAGCTCCTTGGTGATGAAGGGAGAAGGGTGTGAACGAGAAACCTGGAGTCTCCATAACACCCTGGGCTCAATCTACCTCCATTTCGAAGGTGTTGGGGTGGGTGCCGCGGGGAATCTGTCCCTACCTTCTCAGGATGTTGGCCCCATGCCCATCAAAACCGCTTGTAGAGTGCTACTTGGAGAGTGCCCACGACTTCCAAAACTGGAGTCTCCATGTTTGGTTTGGTCCGATGTGAGTTTGCAGCTTCGAAGATGTGTGGATTTTACTGGGCGGGCAAAACGGGCTTTTGGAATTCCACCATTTCAGTTCACGAAGGACTTCAAGATGCAACTAAAACGAAAACACCTGTTTTGTTCTCAGCACATGCACGACATGGATGGTTCAATCCAATCCTTCAGGGTTGGTGAAATAAATGATGTCTTTGGTAAAGCATGGCAGCTTTGCATGTCTTCTCGCCAACGCTAAATAGAACAATCATACAATCAGTCTTGCAAAGGCATTTGTTCAAGCGTGCACTCGTGCATCTGCGTGTGAATTCAAAAAAACAAACGGCAACCTCCCCGAGGGCAAAGGATCGGGTTTTGGTAGGTCTTCCTCTAACCATTTGTTGTTTCTTGCGTTTGTCTGACTCTCTCTTTTTCCTTTTTTTTTTTTTTTTCGCACGCGATCATGTTGTCTCGGCTGGAGGAAGCGATCATGGTTGTCTCGGCTGGAGGGTCGAAAAAGATTTCGAATTAGGTCTCTAAGGATAATTATTTGGCTTGGTCAAGACCTTGAAATGCTGCCGAGCTGTCAAACAGCTCAGAACATGAACAGCAGCAGCTACAGCCACCTTTTCCACCGCAAGACCGCGAGACAGGGACTAAATGGGACTAACTAACAAAGAAAGGCAGGGAAGAAGGACAGAATGACTGCGCAGGTGCCACAGGATTTGAGGAAGTGTTCAGAGAGGAAGCCAGCGAAAGCCACAAAGCCAGCCTAATGGGACGAGAGTGACGAGAGGAAGGAAGGGACAAAAGCAAGCAAGGAAGGATGATACGAAAAGGACGTACGAGTACAACATAGTACAACTGTTCCAAAAGGAGTGAGGAGGTCAAGAAAAAGGCACCCCCAACCTCTGACCAGTTCTTGACTTTTTTTTGGGGGGATGCTTCTTCAGGGGAAGGGGTGCTTCTTGAGGTTCATATTTTGATCCCATCTGGTCCCAGAGCATAACTTGAGAACTGCACGACCATCAACATTCTCCAAGGTTCCCATGCCTTGCCTTTCTCCAAGACCTTAATGACCACATCTAAGATACCGCTGTCCATCACATTGATGGCAGATTCATCGGCCATCCGGAAGAGCTGCAGGGCCAAATGCCAAGAAGTGGCCGCTTCACAGGAACCTGAGGACTTCGGGCGATCCATGGGGCTGTCCGCCCACTTTTTCGCGAATGAAAGGTGCGACTCCGCCCCACTCCGCCCCTCCAGGCAAGCAACTGATGGCTCCCCTGTAGCTGCTTGGTTGAGGGGGGCAGCTTTCGTCTTGACATCAGCTCTAGGAAGCCAAGGACCTGCTGCCTCAGAGCTAGCTGTTCACAGGCCAGGTGGGTCATTAGCCTGGAGCAAGCACCAGGTGAACTCGTGAATTCCGAACATTTTGGATCCAGGCGTTCGAAAAGCCGAGTTCAGCAAGGCCCTGGGGTGTGTGTGAGTCGAGTTTCACCAGAGCCGAGCATCGCCCAGCTTTCATCTGAGGCGAGAGATGGGCGACACAGAGATCGTGGAATCCTGGGCCTCGGTCCCCTCCAGGTCAGAACAGCCTGGCTCTTACGACCGTAGGACCGTAGGACCACTCCAAGACCAAACAGATTGGTTCTACTGTTGTACCCTTATAAAGTCGCTCGAGTGGCTTCGTACCTGGTAGAGTCTTTGCAGACGATATTTCAGCCTCTCAGCTAGAGCGATTGAGTTTGCAAATGGGTGCCCAGCCCCCGGAGAAAATCCCGGCACGTCCCCGCAGAACCAGCAACGCCTCTTGGTTTTTGCCAAGAGTCTTCAGAAGGGCTTACTAATGATAATGTTCAACACAAAGACCGTCGCAGGCATGACTAAGTAACAAACACTCCATTTTTGCCAGTCCGGAGCGACTGGGGAAGAGCCTCACTTGACTCGTCCGCCCTCGAAACCATGTCCAGGTGGCCAGCAGCCGGACATGGCACATAGGTTTATGGCAGCGTTGTAACCTCGGCATGGGAAGGCCTGGTTGGAGAATGGGTCGCGAACCATTTCCCGAAAATAAGTACAAAAACAAAGGAACGGACGCCCAGTTTCTATGATCACAAGTACAAGCGATGTGGGTAGGGACATTCGATGTAAACAATGCCTTTGGGATCGCGTGTGGCCGGGTTCTTCTTCAGATCGGACCCATCCGACTAGAGATGATAAGGAGCATGCAACAATTTGGCGCAAACATATGAGCGAAAGGTACAGAGTAGGAAACGACGGCCTCCAACCTAATAGCGATGGCCTAAAAACCTAGAAGCGAAAGGTACATTAGTACGGTCTTTTCACGGTGATGTATTACCATCACGGTCCAAGCAGCTCACCAGGTCTGGGGCAAGGCCCTGCCGCGTTCGTGAAAGGCGAAAGGGCCATGAAAAACACCAAACCTGGGAACTCCAGCTGTTCCATGGAGGCCAGGGTGCCGAACTTGCGGAAGTCAGGGTGTCACATCTAAGGGTGTCCAGCTGGATGAGACTGTTTCACTCTTTGTCCAAAGACCCCGTATATTATATACCTGGACCCAAGGTCGTTCGTAACCTGAACAAATAGGACATGACCCTGTGTACAACTGTCTCCACCGCGTGCACAGCCAGCTCACAGCACCAGCACCGGCACCCAGCACCAGCAACCTGTCTCGAAAGCGCGCACGGGCAACTCATTGTTATTTATTTGAAGTAAGAACCCCATAGCTTCGCTATCTGGGGAAAAACCATCACCGTGACTCCAGGGTGTTTACACACGAACATCCTCTCCCCCTCTCTCTCCTGGCTACTTTTGCCCCTTTCTCGCGCCCAAACCAGTGGAAAGGGCTTTGAGGGTTCCGACCCTTGCTACGGACGGTCCAAGGATTCTTAGCGTAGTCGGCGTAGTCAAAACTATTTGTGAACATGCACCTAATTATAAATGTCATCTACCCCGCCAAAGAAGAGCAACGTAATTCTTCGAATCTCCAGCAGTGAACGCCCCCCATTGATGCATTTGTTCCCGATCCAACAAAACATCGATGCTTTAGATCTGTCAGTATCTGTCAGTCCTGCATGTCGAACAGCTGTCCAGCCCAGCGCCATTGCAGACTCCCTGAGGCTGCTGGTGTTCGTTCGCTTCTCACCGTCGTTCGTTGGGATCACCCTCTCAGAAACACATGTTTCAATGCACGATCGAATGAGCTATGGTTGGTTCACCTGGAAAAGGTTGGGGAACTCCCGTGGTCACCGTAGTCGCTACCCTTGCAGCGATGGCGTCCAACCTAGCCATGCGGCTAGGCCTCCAACCGACTTGTAGCTCCCTGTTGAGCACTGAAGAAGGAACACAAAGCCAAACCCGCATGGGACCTCTACAACTCGTGTGTGGCATCTGCCAGTAGACCTGACAGCCCTCACCATAGACTGGACCACATATCGTTGAAGCATAGATTCACTTGCACAACGAAGGATGGACAATCCTCATTACCTCATTACATTAATTGGCATTAATTGGCACATGTCTAGTCAACGCGACGGAAGGGGTCTCCAATTTAGAGAACCTGTCCCTTTCCGAGTGATGGGATTGATGCGTGAGGTACACATGAGGAGTTCATGTTTCGATACACCGTTTTGCCTAAGAAGCGACAGATGGCATGGATGATGGCAATGGATAAAGTGGATAAGACAGCTGTAGCTGGCTGCGAAAAAACGGAGACACACTTTGATTGTCCACCCGAACAAATCACCCTGAAACAAACCATTGCTGTCAACAGAATCCTGGGTAGGAGGAGAAGCTAAACTTGTAGGCCGTCGCCTGTGTGATAATGGTGGTACCTTGTGAAGGTGGCTCTTCCTATAGCAAGCAATGTGAGAATCCCAATAGCAATGGCCTCCAACCTAGTTGCAATGGCCTCCAACCTAGCTATGGCCTCAAAATTGATGGGTACCATGGCCAATGTCCTGTAAGTTGCCAGAGTTCCTATGCCAAACACGAGGGGGGCCGGGCTGTGCCTACATGGATCTGCTGCCTACTGTGGTTGCATAGTTCAGGTCCCCTTTTGTAGGGTTGGCACGTTCCATTCGCATAGTAGTACAGTAGTATCAATAACGAAAAATGATGTTCCCACACAAGCAGCCTTTAAACACCTGTTAACAAGTGGAGCAGCCCTTCTTTTTTTGCTGCTTGGGAGTGGGACTTTATCAGTCCACAATTTGGCATGGCAACATCAGAAGCTGTTTCCGAATAATTCGGGTGTGCATTTCACTAGGGAGACCCCCGCATGGTCTATTTTTCCTTTACCTTCCAGCAGGTCGGTTGTAGCCAACAAACTACAGTAACTATATGACAAAGATTGGAACAAAAAGAAAAAAATGTGAAATGTTCTTTTTTTAAACAACTAAATACTGAATACTTTACTTCGAGTGACCCCCACGGCATTGATCCGCTGATAACAACCCTCACCGGAAGAAACAGCAGCTTCCATCCGGCTACACCCATGCCGTGGCCGGCCCGTGCCTTCCATGGCACCGAGGAGTGCCGTGAAGCTGAACACATTGGGTCGGACCTGAAGGGCTGAACGGGTCGCACCAGTGAGGTTGGTCGCACCCGGGAGGGTCAGGGTTGGCATGATGCGAGAAGGCGTGAGGTTTGGTGAAGTGGAGATTTGAATCTTGTCTTGTTCAGAATGAGCGATTCCACCAGCAAATGTTCCTGGATATGAAGTACCCTAGTTCAGGCCCTAGAAAACGGGACTTCTCCTATATTGATACCCAACATAGAACCACCAAAGTTCTTCATCGCCACCTCTCTCCACCCAATCATTACACCATATTACACCCCACTTCACGTTCAAGCTCATCTTCAGGGTTGCCGCTCGAGACCCTGTTTGGAATCACCACTCACCACTCCTTTCCCGGAGATACCGGATAGTCCCGATCTTGAAAAAAACGGGACGCGATGTCATCTTGGTACCTTGCATAGTCGGCACCGATGGGTGAAAGAAACCCCCCATCCTTCGGTGAAACCTCGCAGCGCCTGAAGCCGCGGCATCTCAGACCACAGGTGAAGAGCCCAGGGCCAGCGCGGCAGCTGAGCATGGTCATGGCGCGATGGGCGTCCCATCGCACTGATGGCAGAGGTGAAGGTGATGGCGTTGGGAGATATCCTGACGGCACTGGACAAGCTTTAGTTGGACCAAGGTGGGGCGAATCACCGGGCGAGCTCTCCGAAGCTGTAAAAAAGAGGGATGGCATACTGGTCAAATCTTTTCAACATTCATCTCAAACGCGTGCAAAACTTCTTCTTCCACCAGTGGACTTTGAAACCAGATTGACGCTGTAGATGGAAGGTCCTTCTTTCAGTTTACCACTCAAAACATTCTCATCATCAGGGTGCTTATTCTTCCAGTGCGAGCTCATGAACTTCAATCGGTGACCGGAGTTCATCCCTCAGAATCTGGGCCCGAACCAATGGGAAGGGTTTTGAGATGTTTTGAGTGTGGCCCCTGCTAAGTGTGAAGGATCCGACCCCTGTCGAGGGCCCGAGAATTCTTAGGGTTGGCTGTATAGACATCAATTCAAGTTAGGAGTCCAAACAAAAGGCTGACCAAATTGCTGGATAGTTTTGTGCCAAGTGATGTCGTACACGTCACTATAAGCTCTAAGAAACAATGAGCTTCTTAGAGATCCATAGCCATAGCATTCTCCTGAAGTTTGGTGTGGACAGGGTGCGGTTGAATTCCTTTCAAAGCACAAGGGTTTCCAAACATGGGACAAGTGGTTCAGACTCGAAATTGAGGTTTTAGTGCCCTAAGTGAGTGGATTATGGACACCCCTATTCTCCAATAGGTACCCCTTTGGAACTGCTGGGATAAGCTTCTGCGACTTCGTTCGTGCAAAATCGAACATGAACGAAGAACAGCTACGACTGGGGCCCCGTTTTCCAAGCGGGCCGCGACAAAGCCCATCCAGGCTTATTCAGGTGGGGGGGGAGGTCCCAAACCTCTTAGACCTTCTGGGGACCACACATCCGATGACGCCAGTCCTCTGGAGAGGAAAAGCCACTATCGAGCAGGACCTTCCCAGTGACCGAACTTCAGGATTGGTATAGGTGACCTTTCACAGACCTAAGTAACATCGAGATCGGGAATCTCAAAGGGTCACTGGGAAGGTCCTGAGAGATACCCAGTCCGGACTGTGCTTTGATTGACATGAAATTGGGTCTATCCTATTACCAGTAGTCCTGTCGATGATGGTTCAGTTGTAGGCCTTGTTCAACAATAGTATACAATAGTCATGTTCTTGTTTACTCACTGTTACAGGTAAGTTCGGACAGACCCTGGCAGCAGTCTCTTGCACTGGCCCAAGTCTCTTGCACTGGCCCATGAGGTCAAAAAGCTGTAGGGCCAGCGGCCACTGCCAACTCTTCTCAAAAATGCTCATCAGCGTGCTGAAAGTGACCACCTGACGTGCATTCACTCCGCAAACAGACTCCGGTTCGAAAGAACAAAACGGCTCACCGAAACGACAGGAGTCTGGGTGGTGAACCCCCGCAATTAAAAAAAACAAAAACTGCCAAGCTGAAAGTGGTGTTCAAATATGTTCAAATCAACCAGGGCCGTCCCTGTTCGACCAAACCCGCCAGGTCCCAGGTTCCCCTCCATCCGCCGCGGAGTCCGGAGTCTAAATCCTGACAGGTTGGACCTGATGTCCAACATGTTCATAGTCTTGGAGCTCCTATCTTTGACCTAGTCCAGGATCACGTATTGTAGGATACAAAGAGCATGTTTCTAGGTGCCCAAAAGAACACCTAGTCGCTTGCTCGCAGAAACGAAACCAAGTCCCACGAGGAACAACGAACCTATATGATACTGCTGATATTTAATGATATTATATACGTTTCTTGGTCTATTCCTAGGGATCATTAAGGCCTCATTAGGGATCTACTTGGTCTATTACCTGGTGTCACAAACTGCGCACCTCGGTCAAAGAGGATATACAGAACAAAACAAAAACAGTGCTGTGCTGCTGTTTGGTTTCGGGTCATCTCCCATTCTCTTGAAGATCGGGTCGTTCGGCATATATCTCTTCGAAGATTCCATACGGCCCTCACGAACTCGTCTACTACGGCGAGGTAACCCTCCACACAGCACGGAACCTTGGGTGGTATATAGATCCATCGGGCATGTGCTTATGCAATTGGAACTATACAACATGCCCTGGGTACAGGGAAACATCCAAACTATGTCCATTCAGTCAGGCAAAATTGGGATGTCAGGCCAGTTGGCCCATGCTTTAGTTTAGCTGTTCCGTCCATTCATCATCCAAGGGAGACCCCAGTAGCACGGGGTCCTAACCCTCAAGACTCTTTGGTTGGATTCGGGTACACAGTCGAATCCCCCAAAACACCTGTTGGTCACTATTCATCATCACCTCCAGATCTTCTCCATGATCAACCACGATCAACCCCAATGCACACCCCCACTTAACAACATGGAAAACATTGGCAAACACATCGACTTGCAACTAAAAAACATTTGGAAGAACGGTTGCGCGTGGCATGGCGTTGAAGAACTTCAAAGCATCTCGCCACATTGCTGGAAGAAACTTGTATAAATTCATGCCTCGGAATTGCCTAAAGAGATCTGGGCATACAAATCAAATCCCTTAGCCTATCAAGGAACTGTGTTTAGGGATTCAAACAAAATGCAATGACATGGGAACAACAAAGAAAAGCACCTCAAAAGCTCAAAAAAAGCAATCAAACCACTCACAGTCAGACTGTCAGACTCCTCAAGATTTACACAATAGAACTCTGCAACCTTCCAAAAGCTTTGTGGTGCAAAAAGGCTTGCCTTGGTTCATCCAGTTTTGCTACCAAGAAGCAGGTATTGAAGCTGATCACATCCGGCAAGATCCCCAGATCTGGCATGCCTCAGATCGGTTGGATCCTAACCTCCCTAATGTAGACTGATAAATAAACCCCCCATATGAGGAGGATTGTCCAATTCACATGGGTCGGTTTATGAATCAAGAGTCTACATTACTACCCTCCCTCGGTGGTCGCTTGGAGAACCTCCCGGCTCGGTCGTTCCGAGTGGTGGGGCGGGTAACGATGTGGGGGACCCTCCGCCGAGTCTGGGGGGCATGTCTACACCTGGACGCGACCCTAGTTCGTAGCCAAAACGACTGGAACATGATCTCCCCCCAAAACAGGCACTTAGTATGTGCTGGTACTCATTTTCGGTACGAACAGGTCGACTCTAGGTATACGGTCCAGGTCTTGCCAGTGACCAAAACTGGTGTTGCACAGCGTCCGACAGAACATCTGATGTGGGGTGCCCCTGGAAAGGGCCCAAACATGTTTTGTTTCACCCCAAGAGTGAGACGTGACAAGTTCACCTCAGTAGAACACCAGGTTGCAGCTACTGTTGCAGCTTTATGCACATATGTTGAGGTAGGTTTGGATCAGGCGGAAGAATAACACTTCCTAAGTGACACCACACCACTAGTGTTGACCTTTATTGGACTGTGCAGCAGTGGGAGCAACCAAATCAAGTTGTACAACTCTCAATGCCGCCAGTTGAAAGCTTCTTTCAGCTTGATAGAAGCAGTAAAGCCAAGACACTTTAAACAAAAAAAGTGCCGCAAAAAAGGAGATGCTTCCATTGTTTCGGTTCCGATGCCTGCTAAGCTGCCGTGGAAGAGCTGTAATGCCTTGGGCCACTGGCGCCCGCGGCCCAGCGCGCTCATTGCCGCGTTGCAGCTGCTGGTGGTCGGCTGGATGTGGCCTTCTGCCATCGAATTGAACACCTCAGGACAGGATAGATCGATCCATGTTGGGCCGGAAAAGGCTGTCAACTGGTCAAGCCTGGCTTAAAGAACATGAGCTAGGAATTATAGAACATATTATATATACTTCCAAAGAAGGACGGGGCAACATATCCCTATAATGATCGAGAATGAAACTTCAACCTCCGCCTGATGAAAGGAAAGGTGTCCCATGCCTGAGAACCGCCTCTATCCCTACAGTCGTCCAGTCTGACCCACTAAAACCTAGTCTTTTACCCCCTTACGACCATCTCCAGTAAAATACGGTCAAACTGACTGTAGTAGTAGGGTGTGGATATTCGACAGGGATGGACAGGGATGAAGCCCACTTTGAAAGTCGGACCGAACGACGGAACGACGGAACGACCCCACCCCCATGGCACCACCGTTGAAACTCCACTTCGTAGGGTCCAAATGGAAACTAAGACCAAATGGAAAATCATGTACCTTTCTTGAACACGTTCCACCCCACCTTCAGAATCTGGGCGGTCGTCTTGGGGCCGAACAATCCCAGACACGTTCTGGGAGTCGGAGGTGGCATATCTACCTTGACCCTCCAGGTAGACAAAGTACCTGGCAAACTTACCTGTCTTTAGAGGGTTAGACGTCCCATTTTCGCTACTTGAAGTCAGGTCCAGGCACCTGATTTCATTGGGGTGTTCTTTTGGGGGTGAATCATAGCTCTATATGGCGTGTCGGAATGCACATGACCAACAAAGGAGAGGCTGGCATGTCTGGGCGGGAAGTACCTCACCTGACTTCAAGCGTCCTTGCTCCGTTCGTAGCGATGCCCTTGTTTCTAGTGGCTTCTTGCTCCGTTCGTAGCGATGCCAGGAGCCCCGAACGTAGCGTCCTTGCTGCTAGTAGCGATGCCCTTTGCTTTCAAAAAGGAGACATATGATCTTATAACATTAGGTACTTGTAACATGTACTTGTACCGTTTTCCGAGCCGACGAGCTACGGGTTGACTCCAGGTACCGGTCTTTGCGGGCAAAAGACCGGGTGGACTGTCATGAGATGTCCCATATTCGAATTCGCGACTTCAATTCAAGTCGGGTTCAGGTAGTGACCCTTTCGCGCGATGACAACCCATTTTTGCTTTTGCTTGACACCTTCGGCTTTTTCGACCTCTGATCTTCTCAGCGAGGCAAAACCAGATCCATATCCAACATTTCAGTATTTATGTTGCTTTCATACTCCCAAGATAGGTGGTGCCAACCCATATCCACTCGCCGACGTCTTGCAGCAGGAGGCTTGCAAAGCATGCTCCCACTGCTGCCCTTTGTCCAAACAGCTGATGGTCGAGTTGTAGCTGATCTCGTTGCGTTGAACTTGCTTGGAGGGCATATCGTTGAAGAGGTGCAATCCTGGAAAGTCCAATTGCAACGAACAAAACAACTGCATGGTTCTTTCAAGTATTAATGATGAAGGAAAGTTACATACCTACCTCCAGCACAATTGTTTATTTGGTTAGATAATGTCTCCTTTGCAAATGAAAGCTGAAGAAGGGGCCACCTCCACTTCCACCCATGTTTGAATCAAGGGTGTATATCTGGGGGAATGACGGGAACCTTCCAGGGGCTTGCTTAGTCTTGAACCCTTCCTTGAAGAGAGGATGTTTTACCCTCCACAGTCAGGCCACTTAAGATCTCATTTATACCAGCTGCTTCCAAGGGGTCAGCAATGGACAACCTGGTATCGATGGAATGTTGAGCGAGCGAATTCAAGGATGGATTTTCACAAACACATCCCAAGCTTGGCCAGGCTCATATCCTCTCACGCACCTCATCATTTGACCAGTTTCTACAAGATCCAGGCACCAACTGTGTCAAAATATGGGCTCAGGTCAAATCCTTTCGCAGGGCTATTCCCCGGCTCAGCTCCGGGGCGCAACAGTCTGACCAACAGTTGAGTTGCCGATAGGGCAGTGGGGCAAAAACAGGGAGGCTCCTGGTTGACCCGTGAAAATGAACAAATGCCATGATCCCTACGGAACAGATGGGGCCCTGGGAAGGTCATCAGATTTCTCTCTTGGCAGGTCGGAATCCAAGGCCATTCCGCATGGGAGGGTAGACCAGGGAGGACACAGGCACAATCCCTTCACGAAACACATATATACCTCGACCTGGATCTTGAAAGGGCCTAATTTGTTGGTCCGATGCATTGTGAAACAGGGCTCAAAGATGCCGTTTCAGGGGTTGCAAACATGTGCCCCAAATCCATGGAGGAAAAAAGAAACAATTTGGATGCTGAATATCCAGGAAACATGTTAACCTCTCCACCAGCAGGTGCAATGTCGGGGTGCCGAACTTGGTGCAATGTCGGGTGCCCAACTGGGTGCACATGCTTCATTATCCACTCACTTAGGGACTAAAAACAATTAAAAACATCTAACAACCACCCCTTTGTGACTCCTGGCAGTTCTTTCTTCCTGTTTCTTCTGTTTCTTCTGTTTGAACCGTTTCCCTGCTTCATCCTGGAGGGTCTAAACCCAACATCAGAAATCCACCAGTCACCTTTCACATCATGTGTTTCGCACACCCAAACCTTTCTCCGCCACCGATCAGTCCCAGTTCTGGGGGCCATCCTGGCCTAACAGGTGGTGAACCTGGGCACCAGGAAACACCTCGACTGGATGGTATAGGGCACTTGTGGATCTCCATTGGACACCACTTTCAAGGACCAGGGCCTGCCGGGGGGGCAGTGATTCAATGCATCCTGGTGCTCTCAAGATTCTCAAGATACGCGCAGTCGCTCGTCCAGAAATCAGGAAACCGTTTCGCCCAAGTCCCCCGCTTTTCCCCTCATGATCACCAAAGGCTCCATACTCCCAGCCTGTACCCCTTGTACAGGCACTGATAGCTGCACTGCAGCTGAAGACGTTCGGCTGAATCCTCGCAAGGAGTTGCGCAGTCGCGAGTGGACTGAGCCACATGTTCTCTTGTTGGTGCAAGAGGGCTCCGTTTTGGATTTCCGGTTTCGGTTCACTGCCTGAAATGTGGGTGGTTTGCCAGGGGGTCTATCCCTACCTTCTCTTTCGGATGTGCTTTCTTTGAGCCCATCCAGGACAAGGAAATCTCGCCCGTCTCCTTGGCATCTCGATCAGCTCGGCAGCCACTTGCCATTGGGACACCCGCCCGCAAGCGGCAATGGCAGCCTGAGGTGGTTTGGACCCGAAGACGTCTTTGGCCTCCAGTTCACACCCCCATGGAAAATGGACATTGACTGTGACATGACCCTATTAAGTTATAAGCAAAGGCACAACCTGTAGCTATTTTCTGAGGTCACGAATTGAGACTCCAGGTAGCCACCTTAGTTAAAACATGGGAGTTACAAATTTGTATATGGAGGGGCTCCACATACAACATGTAATTATCGACGGACAGGTCGGAAGGGGACCCTCCCTGAAACAACAATCATGGAGGTGAAAAACGGCCTGCTGTTGGCAAAAGGAAAAACGCCTTCCTTTTTGATGGGGCCATGTTCAGTTGCATGTTTGTTGGAGGGAAATCAGGAATAAGGTCAGAATATATTGTCATGATTTTGAGATCGACACCTCGAAAACAATCAAATACAATTTAAAGAATTGGTGAATCACTTGTAGCCACAAAGCCCTTGATGAAGGGATGTCATTAATTCACCTCTCCCTTGGAGGCTAAGTGCCAAACAACCCTCCGTGGGTCCTGTCTCAACCAGTCCGCTGATGCATTTGCTTTTCAACTCTTGACTGCGCAGTCCGGTGTCACGTCTGTGTTACTCTTGTTGGGTGCGACCGTCCTCCCGTCCGTCCGTCCGAACTTCCGGTGCCTCCGTCCGTCCTCGCCCAGGGACGGTCAGAAGTTGAGGCGACCCCGTCTCGACCGTCTCTGCGTCACCTGCGAACCGAAGCCGCGGCGGCGATCGGGGCCGATCGGAGCCGGTGAAGATCGGAGCTTGGGCAAGCCAAGGCAATCAATAGTATAGGGACTTGATCCCTTCAAATCACGTAACAGAAGTTTGGCCATGAAGCAACCAAGTGCTTCCAGTGTTTTCATGTGCTTTGCTCCAAGTGCTCGGAATGCCAAGTGACAAATCTCCAGAAGGCGTGGGACCAACTCGGGCTTCTTCTTCACGAGGGCATGCAGTAGCTCACTTCTATGAGACATGGGCAGGCCAGGCACAATGGAGCCTTTGTCCGGTGGAGTTACACTCCAAACCATCATGGACGGAGATGAAAGGCACTGGGGTCTTCCATGTTTCTCTAGGATAAGGGAGTCCTGGTCAGCTTCCATATGTGCTGGAGGGAGGGTACACCTATAAGAGACTTTCCAAAGTGCTCACATACCTCTTGAGAAATCTCTTTCATGTTGAAGCACTCCTATAGAAGAGACTAATTTTTGGCCCAACACCAATCACATTCTGTTCAATCACGTGACAGGGTGCATAAAGTGACAGTTCGTACCCCGGAAACTGGGTACAAGTGTCTGTTTTAGAGGGTCATTTACCATTTTCCAGGTTAAGAAATGCAGGGTCTACTAGGTAGATGTGAATTTTCTGTTGCTAGGGGTCCCTTGTTCGGATGAGCTCCAAGCGAGAACAAACATGCCAACAAACCTGGAGAAAAGATCATATTTGTTTTTCTTAAAACATTCAAAACTGAATCAACAGGGGCCTGCAAGACCAATCACTGCATGGCTCCATGTTCTTTTGACATACTAATTTATTGCGTGGTTTAGTCTTTTGGTGCCGTGTTTGGTTCTGAATATCTATGAACCAATGTGAAACACTTGTATTATAAGAATCCTTCTTGTGTTCCTCAATTCAGGGCTTGTCTAGGAGATCGCAAATACAATCTGCAGTCGTAGATCTTTCCCTCGAGTCAATCAAAGAAGGCTTGGCAATCAAACACAACCAAAAATGATTTGCTTTGCAGATCAATGATCCTTACCATCCAGAATAAACTGGCCAGGGCACGCAATCGCTCCCGGGTAAGCTCGGACGGCGCACTCAGGCATGAGATGACCTCATGACGAAGAAGTGTTTGTAAATGCGTCGCTGTGCATCATACCACAAAGGCATCTGTTGAAATGGAATACCGCCGACAGTGAAAGACGCGAACTCCGAATCAACGTCATCCGTGGTAGATTTGGACGAATACCATCTGCATATCTGCACCATGGGAAAAAGACCCACGTTCACCTTCACAGATGTTGAAGGGGTTGCAGGTCGACTGGAGACCCGTCCAGACCTGTCCACAAGTGCTTTCATGACCTTCAACACCCGAGAGCAATGATGAAAACCATGATAAAACGTTAGATCTGTTTTCTTCCAAACACTCCGTGTACGTAGCATGAGCTAGTTAAAATCTTAACAGGCTCACGGGTTGCACATGGTTGACATGCCCATCGGGTAAGAGCTGCCGCCAAAGAGATGTCATTTGTCTTTATCTAATCAGTGAAATACGCTTTGTCACAGCACATCCGATGTATACATATATATATAGATATATACATATTTAGATAGAATTCAAACCCCACCGTGCATGAAAGTTGCAAACAAACTTCATTTCACTGGGGAAGCTCCAGGCTAAGATGCTCTCCTGATGCTTTTCTTGTGTTTTGCATTATTTATCATGAATGTGAGTGACACATCAATACATGCATGTGACGTCAATTCACGGCCATCTCCCCTAGATGGGGAGGAGTGGCAATGTTGCTGGCAAAAAATGAGAACATGACATACACAAATAGGTGTTGATATGTGTTAATCAATTACTTTTCAGAAGTCTTGCAAACGTCTTCACAACGAGGCTATCACAGAAACTCCAAATTGATTCATGAACAACTGGATTCTTCCTAGAATCGGGAGGAACATGGACTTTCAGTCAGTGCGGGCTATATAGTTAATGAGGGATACAACAAAAACAAACTTCAAGACTCACTCGGAGTTGAGTGAGCCTTCAGGACAATTATCGATCCGACCGTGCTGCCGAGAAGCAGCCCGGACCAATTCCCGTGGCCGTAGCATGGGGAATCCATGGAGGATGAAACCAGGTGCTTGTGCAAAACAGCTTGGCTGCGATCACCAACCTATCACACGTACCCGGACTCCAAATATCGAGTCCATTGACATCGGACTCCCAAACCAGTCCGATGTTTCTCTACCAAAGCCACGTCGTTTTCGACGCGTGCACACGTTTTCGGAGAGGTCCGGTCGAACAGGTCGAGTCAGGGTCAGCCCGGTTCGCACCGAGCGGCTTTTGCTCGGATTTGGCACTAACCAGGGTACCACTTCAGAATTGAAGTACTTTGTGTTGCTTTTGTATGGTTGAGCTGGTTTTGTCTCAAATCCTCAGTAAAAGCATGGTTGTTTGGTAAAACACATGTCAGTCATGCTTGTTGGAATATCAGTGGGGCTAGATCCTTCGGTGCTATGAATCCAAAACACTGCCAACAACGGAAGCTGGCACTCTCTCTCCCAGTGCAACAACTCTTCGGTGGAAACAAATAAACAAGGGAAGCTGAACACCAAATGGTTCTCTCGGCAGTGGGAGGAGGTCAAGAGCCATCGTTCGAACCACACCAGGTCAGCTCTCGCCCCCTCGGCCGAAAAGCTCGCGCCCGTCGCATGTTTTGAACTCACGCATGAGTTCCAGCAACTGCAAGGCTCCTCGCCTGGGCGACTCGAAGACCGTTCCAGACCGTTCCAGACCGTTCCAGACCAGCGCAGGAGGCTTTTGGGGTGGAGGTCCCGAAGAGAACTGACATGGGACTGCCCAAGGTTCGTGGGGGGGTATGATGACTTGCCAACCCAAACCTTACATGGGACTGGCCTATACCTATACATTGAGGTGGTTTGAGGGGGTCAATATAGGCATATATTCCATACATGGAGTGCTTGGGTCAGGACAAAAAAGAACACACATGCATGGAGAAAACAACAGCATCGAAGTTGCACCGATGGTCGAAGACATTGGACGGAAGTTCTCGAGATCCACGTCCAGCACATCACCCGCGAAAGGGAGGGTGGCAGTGGATCCATAAGAAATGTTACCCTTCAGTTGCCACCTAGAAAAAATGGCACATGACGCATCATGGCCCCAAACAACAAACAGGAATGGGGGCCCATTTTCGGAGGTACGAACAGCTCTTACAGGGACCGCCAAGTGGCAGGCAATTGACTTGTGGGCCAACTGGGCACCAATTTTTCAGGGGAACAGTCCGACATGCTCGGTGCCAGCCTGCAGGGGATGAAAGGCCTTGGTGGCTTAGCTAAGTCCACTGTCGAAGCCATGGTCCCGGAAAGTTCGTGGGGAGGAAAACACCCCTGGGACATCTCCAGTGGCATCCGTTCTGAACGCCCTCGCATCAGACGAAGCGGGCGACGCCAGGGCGACGCCCCCAGCAACAGCAGCTGGAGCCAAAGGCAAAACTTCCACCGGCAAGATGCCATTGATTCCCTTTCTCGCATGCACTGATTGCTGCACTGAAGCTCACTTCGTTAGGTACCACTCCACGGGCAATCCTGAGCCCACGAGTTAGCCCAGTCCGGCACAATTGAAACAGGTCAAGAAGCGGAAAACCGGACGAGTTCCTTCTGTCGGATGAAGTGACATTGGGCAAGCCGTTGAACATGACCTCTAGATGCCATAATCAAACTTTCTACAGTACCTGGAAGGGGTCTAGGGTATCTGTCACCTATTTGCGGAATATGAGATCGTTGATAGAGGAAGAAAAGCAAACTCCAAATCCGCAAAACCGTTAAACAGTTAAACCCTACTAAACTGGTCATCGGAGGTTTGCTCAACATAGTCACAGGACACTAGTGCCACTTTATCCCTAGGGATCCCAAACACACGCTCAGGCGATGATTCACAATGTATTCCTTTGTGATCAGGTTTCAGGGATGGTTTTGCACCGAGACAGTGCTCACAAGAAACGGGAAAACCACATTCCAGAAACTCCCTTCCACCAGCCCAAGCACAGGCCTCACTCGTAGTGCATGGTTGTTTTCCTTTGCGATGCCATAGCTACGCATTCACTGAAGCAAGAATATTTGGCCATCCTTGGGTATCCAAATAGTTTATTGGTAGAATTTAAGTGAAAGTTTTGGTACTAGCACCCCTGATGGCTCCCCAAGTGAAACATGGCATGAATTAGTCATCGTCACTGCAGAAGGCATCCCAATGAGCAAGGTTCTGGTGATTCTTTTGCCTGAGCAGGGTCGACAAATATAATCTAAAGCACATAAAGAACACATGGTGGATATCAAAACATAAAGAACACATAAAGAGCACATACAGGCTTGCCAGGTCCACCAAATGACCCCATGTAAAACCGCTTCAAAGCGATATGTTCCACTTTGGAGTTGTTGGCGGATCTGCAAACAATGGACATGCGTCCTATGAAGTCCTCCGGTTTGTAACCACTGAAGAACCGGGCGTTGTAACCTGAGCTGGTGGTGGAAGTCTTGGCCCCTGCGATCTAGGAACCACTTAGGGGTCTTCAAAATGGTTTTAAAAATTCTTCTGAAGGTTTATGTGGATCCACAGGGAGCTATAGTTTTTGTAGAGGACACCGCAAAAAGTGGCACCCCAAGAATGGGTTCACATTAAACGAAGAAAGCACCAAGTCATTCCAAATTGGGCCACGCAGCACTCCAAGTATTGTTGGAAAGCTAGCTCCTGCCAAGCCTTGCTACTAGCTGGATGGCAAAACAGAAAGAGATAACATGTTCTTTCCCAACAGACCCAAAACAGTTATCTTTAAACAAGGAACATGCAATTTGGGTCTGCTCGGGAAAAGCAGCTCACCAGCTTGCACCGCCATGTTGGACAAGATTGCATAGCTAACAAGGCACTTTTCCGAGGTATCCAATAAATCTTGGGCCTCCTCTTCTGTCAAATACCTCGGGAGAAGCTCTGCCTTGCGGTGCCATTCAGCTGCATAGAACCTTAATCCCAAGTCAAGACACCACTCTTCAGCCCCCGAAGCACTGCTCAGAAATAAAAACAATGCTGGGTATTAAACATGTTCTAATGACCCATAAGTCACACGTATCTGTGCTAGTTCAATCAAAGCAGCGCAACCGACGCCAAGAGAGGCAACCATTTGTCGTGGGGGTCAGCCTTTGCAAACTCAATCGTTTCCTCGCATAGCCAGGCCACCACACATCTCGCCTCAGCGTGAGGCCCGACATGTAAACAAATTAGAAAAAACCACACACCCTTTTAGGCATCCACAAACTTTCTCAGAATGTGTTTGTGGATATTGGCCACCCGTAGTCAAAAGGAGCCTACATAGCATATCATATATACCATCCAACACTTTGGCTGGAGGACACCCTCTAGGGATCCCCACACCTCTTCCCATGAGGTCAAACACCACAATTAACAACCTTAGGCTAGGAGGCCTTATCACCTAGTTTTCCCAGGTCTTTGTGCACATCTGGATTGTTGCATATTAATGCCAAGGGTTGTCAAACAAAAAAACTCAACTATGAATAGGGCCTAGATGCGTTCCAGGCCTTGGCCTGGAGTTCAGGCCAGGGATGCTGCTTGGACTTAAGTCGCCACGGCTTCAGCTTCGGCATGGAATGCCTCAGACTTCACAGATGAAGTAGTACATCACATCAATGTTTCATGTAACATGTGTTGGGCTTTTCGGTAAGCAGTGTGAGCTTGTAGAAGGCAGTTTGTCAGAAGACATGCACCCCCTGAACACAAACCACTTGTTAAATCAAATCAGGTGAAGTGCTGAACTTTGTGTGTGCGAGCCCATGACCGGAAGGAGTCATAGCATATGAGAAGCCTGTCCGATTCACTAAGGCCAAATCCACCAAACACATTGTACTCCAAGAGTTTTTTCAGGATAGACCCACATATCCATAAGTCAGCACCCAAGTTGATCGTATGCATGCCATCCCATTTCACCATCTCCATCTTGAAAGATGGTAAGCGGAGTAGTGGGCCTTGGCTGGCAATGTCAGCAAATCCACAAGGCCTGTTTGCACCATGCAGAAAATGCAGGTAAACAACAAAAGAAACTAATACAACCTATTCTGTTCAATGAACCAAGTGTCTTTGCACACCTCTCTTGACACATTCCTGCAGAAAGCTCTCCGTGCTGTGGCGGAACTTGCTGTGTAGCAATCCTGGGGCCTCAAAGTATTTGGGCGCAGTGGCCCTGCAACAGTGGCATATCTCATTGCAAAGGTAATACTTCTGGAGCTGTAGCCACTCCTTGCACATGAAAACTCTGCTTTGGAAAGTATTATCTCTTAGACCACCCTAGGGATCCAAGTACCTTCTCAGAAGGTGATTGGAGGCACTGTTATGTAGATTTGGAGGGTCCAAGTACCTTATCCCTAGGGATCCAAGTACCTTCTCAGGTGCTTGGACCCTCCAAACCCATAACAGTGCCTCCAATCACCTTCTGAGAAGGTACTTGGATCCCTAGCTTCTGAGAAGGTACTTGGATCCCTAGGGTGGTCTAAACAATGAAAGTAAAGATTCTTTGTGGGAAAACGATTGAAATCAAGCAGAGGAATCTTTTTGCCATTTCCAATCTCCGCGGATTTCAGTAACTGCATATCGAACTGCAGGTTTGCCAGCTTCTATGGTCACCCCATCATAGTACAAACCATGAAGCGACTGCACAACCTGAGCCACAGCCATGGATGGGAAGTGTTGATTTTGGCAACGTGTTCCTGCTCCTTGGCCTTTTTTGGCCGTGAGAAGTGGTTGGGGGAAATCAGGAACCAAACTCACATTTTATATAAAATGTGACTAGGCCACTGCATCCAGGAGTGCGTGGACTGTTTGCCAGCCAGCATTGATTTCCTAGCTGGAAGTGAGGGACCCCTGAACCAACATGTAGGAATACACAATCTTCAACTGGGGTTTAAACAAAAAGTTAAACACCTTTTGGTCAAGAATCAGTCCGACAAAGACATAGAGGATAGCAGCACTCAATACTGTTCTTTCTCGGGTCAACCACACAGCCGCAAGCTATCAGCAAGATCTCTTCCCCATTTTCCCGGAATTCAGCTTCATCACCCCACAGCCATATTGGTACGTGTTGTTGCTCCGGGCTGATTTGTGCTAAAGGTGATCCTCGACTGGCAAGATGCTGCCAGTACTCTTTGACCTCCCTCTCATCAACTTTGGGCCAATCTGAGACCACATTATGAGGCAATACCAGTGGATGCTTCCTTCCAGGGGAGGCAAATGCCTAAATTCAAAAACCATTGCTAGTGAAAACTTTGTGGGTTCCCTAGCCGTCCTGATTTCCACACCGTTGATCCCGCGAGTTGTTTGTAGGGGCACGTCGATCCAATCAATCTCTACCTCCAGGGCCCAGGAACCCAACCCCACACCTGAAACACATCCAAAGTACCCAAGACATACAAACTGTTTGTTCCTTGGCTGACCTGATTGGGGTCTTTTTTGAACACTTTCCGAAGGATGTCCCTTTGAATATTCGACGCGTACTTGCCCTTGCATCCAGCTTGCTCCAAGGATTGGCACGGACCCTGCCATGTCACTCCGTGCATGCGAAACTCCTCCAGGCCAATTCTCGGGGAGCAATGTTTTTGCATGAGTCTGCAGTGTGGGCCCCTTGAATCCTTTCCAAGTTCCAACTAACTTGGAATACTTGGCCCCCCCTGTCCCACCAGCACTCCTTTCCAACATAGCTTAGGACCTTCTGCGTCTTTGCAAAAGAGCTAGCCTCAAAAGGAAGGGCTTCACAGCACTAGTTAGAGGGCCTTAGAGGGTTAGGAAGCTCCGCAAACTCACTAGACACTCTGCTGGTCACACAGTACCCAAGATGCATATAAGGCAAACATAGTTATTTTTTGCCTTTGGAGTATATTGGTCAACTGTGTCCCATCCATTTCCTTTCATGCCAAGTTTCTCCAAGTCCTGCCTCTTTCAAGAGGTATGCGTACAGAGGCGAAGATTTGGCATTAGCCAAGTCAGCACCTGCGTGGGTTGGCACAGCTTATAATTATATTGCAACTGCAAGTCCCAAAAAAACAGAAAGCTAAACCTGCCATGCATCAGTTCTGGACCCGTGTTTTAACCACAGCATCAGAAGACAGTGGGCGATCCTTTCTCACCACGCCGGAAACACAATCATCTCATCTTTGGCTTGCCCCAGCCAGTGTCCAAAACTACTCAGGCAGCTGTCAAACCCCATCCAGACCTGAAGAAGGCCTACACCAATACATACAACACTAGTCAACATGAACCGTTTTTGGTAGCAAAGAGCAACCAGTCTAGAAATCTGGACCTAAAGGGTTTGGCCTGACTGACAAGATCTGACAAGATAAGGGTTTCCCTAGCTTGTCACACACAGCCTGTTCCCTCACGATGCCCCGTTCTGCTCAGCTGTCTCTGGAATTGCAGGAGGTGGAACCGCCTTGCCCTTAGCTTTGGCCTTGGGTTTTGGAGGTTCCTTAGTCAATCAGGATGGAGAAGGAACTACTTATATATGTATCTCTATATATATTTATTATATAAT